ATTGTGGATTCATCGACAGCAACAACAGAAATCCAGAAGAGTATGGCTAGAAGAAAGTTAAAATAAGTTTTTATTATATATGTGGCTAAACTCTTCATCAAGATGGCAGACAAAGAAAAGGCATTTTTTGGAAAGAAGAGCGGACTCCTACTCATTCTTTCTTTCCTCACTGACAGGACCTCGGTTTTATTTGGGGTAACTGTGTCCTTAGATTAAAAAATTTCATGTCCCAGACTCCTTTGCTGCTAGGGTGGTATTTGATAGTTCTATCCACTGAGGCAAAAGATTAGATGCAGGAAGGATTTCTGGAAATGCTGGGAATCCCTGATGCCTTGTTTTCCTGCAATATGTGCTGCCCTACTTCCTCTCTTCCGTTTTTTCCCACCTGAGGCTGAATGGGGAACATAGTGGCTGGAGTTGCAACAGAGACACCTTATGTTTTGAGGCAAAGGCTGAGGAAACCATAGAAACCTTGCCCTGTAACTACTTAACTCTATACTTTGTTACATGAAGGGGGAAAGGGGGGCAGTTTTTAAAGCTACTATTTCAGTTACTCATAACTGAACACAATCCTATCTGTTACAGGTGAAGAAGAAAGAAAACCTGATTACTAATAAAAATGTGGCTCTATAGAAAACCCAAGTCACATTTTTAGAAACAATGGAAGTATTCAGAAATATATTAATACAATATACTAAAGTCAATTGTATGTGTATATAGCACCAATGAACTCAGAAAATATCATTTTGAGTTATTTATTTATTTTGTGGCTGCACCACGCAGAATGTTATTAGTTCCCTGACCAGGGAATGAACCCACGCCCCCTGCATTGGAAGCACAGAGTCTTAACCACTGGACCACCAGGGAAGTCCTGTAATTTTTAAAGGTGTAGTTACAATGGCAGTACAAAATACAAGGTTTCTACAGACAAATCTTATATAAGAAGTACGGAATCTTTTAGACAAAATTTTTTAATTATCAAAAGCAATTAAAAAGTTCTAATTAGGGCTTCCCTGGTGGCGCAGTGGTTGAGAGTCCGCCTGCCGATGCAGGGGACACGGGTTCGTGTCCCGGTCCGGGAAGATTCCACATGCCGCGGAGCGGCTGGGCCCGTGAGCCATGGCCGCTGAGCCTGTGTGTCCGGAGCCTGTGCTCTGCAACGGGAGAGGCCACAGCAGTGAGAGGCCCGTGTACCGCAAAAAAAAAAAAAAAAAAGTTCTAATTAAATGGAGAGATACATTATGTTCATGGATGGGAAGACTCAGCTTCATGCAGGAATTCTCTTCCCCAATTGTTCTGGTCTCCCCAAAATAATCTGTAAATTAAATGTAATCCCAATAAAAATTACGATGGAATTGTGTGTGACACTTGTCACGCTAATGCTAAAGTTTACAAAGAAGAGAAAAAAACCAGGAATAGCCATGAAAATTTCGAAGAACAAGGTTGGTAGACTCGCCACATTTCATTATTTATTATAAAGCCATGTTAATTAAGGCAGTGTGGTATCAGTACAGGAAGAAAAATGTAAGTCAAAGGAAGAGATGAGATCAAAGAAACATACCCATGAATATGAAAACTTATGGTATATCACAAATCACTGGAAAAAGGATGATAAATGATGCTAGGGCAGTTGGTTATCAGTAAGGAAAAAACATTAGATCCCTAACTCATATCATACACAAAAATCAATTTCAGGTGAAAGGAGAAACCTAAAAAAAATCCCCCTCAAAACTAAACTGTGAGAACATCTTTACAACCACAGGGAATAGAAAGATGATTTATGACACAGAAATTACAAATCTGAAGGAAAAACACTGATAAATTTGACTACCTTTAACTTAATAACCTCTCTGTGTACAAAAATGACATAAACAAATGGCAAAGGCAATGTATAGCCAGGAGGAAGATCATTAGGGTCTGAAGAGATTCTAAGAATTAGTAAGAAAGAAACAAACAGTCCAAGGGCTAAAAGGGCAGAAGAAAGTAGCAATTCACAGAAGAGGAAACCCACATGGCTAATAACTACAAAAAGATGCTTTCCCTCACCAGCAATCAGAGACCACAATGAAATATCATTGACACTCAGCAGACTGGCAAAAATGATTAAATCTGACAATACCAAGAACAAGGTAAGGACGTGAAGCATGGGAACGCCTGTGTACTCCTGAGACGAGTGCACACTGGCATTTCCACTCTCAGAGCTATATGGCAGGTCTAGTAAAGATGAGGATGCCATTGCCTATGATGCAGCTGTTTTAGTCCCATGTGTACACAGCCTAGAGAAACTCTAGCGTCAGACACACACCACAGACTGTTCACAGTATATTGCTATGAATTAAAGTATTATAATAGAGGTAGTTTCAACAAAATTAGTAAAGATACACTTCTGGATGGTGGTACCACCACAGGCACTTGTTTTAAACACAGACCATGATGGGAGATACCACAAATTGAAACAGGTGAATCAGACTACTTTCTGATTCATATCAGAAAGTGGCATCATATTTTAGTGTGGGTACAGACAGGGAGAATGCCAGCCTCCAGACCACCTAAGGAAGATTTTGATGCATTTCCTTAGGACGATTTGCTTATTCTCCTTGACCCAGGATGTGAGCAACTCCTAAGTTACTATATCTCCTTTCTCCTCCTCTGGGTCCAGCCCTGTCCTGCCACTTTGTAGGGGTGACAGACAAACTGACATCAAGCTCTGCTTTCATAATGACACTGAGTAAAGCAGGACCCTCTCTGTGAAAAAGATCTATCCACGTCTCTCCAAGCCAACATGGTGTCATTTCACAGTTATTTTTATGGCTTTTTAATGAGGCAATATTACCTATCAGAAGACCCCATTCATTAGCACTTTTACCACATACCATTGATGAAACACTTGCGTCTCAACTCTGTTGCTTTTCATACCCTGTGAAGTTCCTATTGCTTATTTTCACAGAGTTGTACAGAAAAAAGTATCTATGTCAAAAGTTGAAGCAATCTGTAAATATATAGATAAGTAATAGTGTAGAGCATTTCAGCAGGACTGAAACATTATCACAGACAAGAAGATTAAAAGCTCCATCATGCCCAAGGCCCCTTCCTGGACTAAATGTTATTATTCAGATACTGTATGATATCACTTATATGTAGAATTAAAAAATACAACCAACTAGTCAATATAACAAAAAAGAAGCAGATTTGCAGATATAGAGAGCAAACTAGTGGTTGCGGGTGGAGGGTGGGCAATATAGCGGGAGGGGAGTGGGAGGTGCAAACTACTGGGTGTACGACAGGGATGTACTGCACAACACGGGGAATATAGCTAATGTTTTGTAATAACTGTAAATGGAGAATGACCTTTAAAACCTGTATAAAACATTTTTATAAGTTGCAATTAGAAAAAAAAAAAGAATTAGGATGTGCATTTTGGTGTGGAACCCAGGGGCTCTGAGGATGTTCTAACGAGCACAGAAGAATCTCTTGTATCCTCCAACTCTTGCCTGTTCCTGTAAGATAAAGGAAGCTATACGGTCAACCCTCCTGTTCACTTTGCACAGTGCCCAGAGTGTCTTGGCGTCGGCCCTGGAAAGTGAGGTCACTACCCGATCCAGGAGGAAGCTCACCATTGTCTAGACTGGGTCCTTGGAAAGAACGGGAGCTCCAGACAGTAAAACAATTGTTTTAGGCTGGAACTGTTTTCAAATAAAGCTTCTGATGGGAGCTCATGTCAGTTTCAGCTTAACCCCTTCAAAGCCTGTCACACGTATTCCTACTGGAGATCTGTTCTCACCGTCCTTTCAAATTTGGATGAGCTTTGCCAGACATTTGCTTCAAAATATCTCTAGTTTTTTCCCTAATTGTTTCAGCAGTGGCTCATAGAAAGGCCTTTTAAAATATCTTTTAATCTTCAATGTATTTATTTCTTGAAATATTTATTTCCTTGTAGGAACCTCAAAGTTTTACATGTTATGAAAGAATGACATGGTTCTGTATTTTACTTTTTACAACCTTAGAGGTATTGGTCGATCATGAAATAATCCCTTTGACATTCAGTCAAAGCCCTTTGATTAAATTACTGTTATTCTTAGAGACTAGGGATGATTCATTTCATAATGCCTGATGGTTTCTTTTGGAATTTATTTCATGAACAGATCCACCTCATTTTTTGTTCTTTTCAAACCAGACAGTTTTAGCATGACTGGTACCGAGGTACAGTACTGAATACAGCCCATAATTACTGAAGAACACTTTAAAATTTAGTAAGAACAGTTAATCTTATAAAGTCTCAGGTGTTCGATTATAAAAATAACTCTATATTAATAAGAATAGCTACTTCTCTGGAAAAGTAAAGTAGGTTTCAGGCGTACGGAATCGCGAAGAAGGCTGGGTGAAGACTGCTTAGATACGACGCCGGAAGTGTGATCCATGAAGGAAAAAATTAGACTTCATCAAATTGAAGTTAGATTAACTTAATGCACTTAGTTAATTAAATTTCAGAAAACAAAAAGATATGCCAAAGACTCTGAGAAAATATTTTCAAATCATATATCTGATAAAGGACTTTTATCCAGAATGCATAAGGGAATCTTATAACTCAACATAAAAAAAAGAGATAACCCAATTAAAATATATGCAAAAGATCTAAATAGATATTACTCCAAAGAAAATATACGAATGGCCCATAAGCACATGAAAATACGTTCAACATCATTAGTCATTAGGAAAAAGCAGATAAAAACCACAATGAGATAACACTTCATACTTACTAGGATGGGAATAATAATAATAACAAGTGTTGGTGAGGATATGGAGAAACTGGAACCTTCATACATCACTGGTAGGAATATAAAATTGGTACAGCTGCTTTGGAAAATAGTCTGGCAGTTCCTTGAAAGGTTAAACATAGAGTTCCCATATGACCTAGCAATTCCACTTCTAATTATTTATCAAGAGGAGTTTTTAAAAAAAGAAAGAAAGAAAACCTCCCTTTGTGCAAGGGTTTTACTTACTGACGTTCCACTTTAGGCCTGTTGTCGTAACCTGATTGCATGGCTGTCCAACAGGAATGAGGCCACACCAATCACCTTCCATTCCGGTATCTACATGCAATTTGTGCTTTCCCTGAGGTAGAGAAGGAATGCTCATTAAGATGGGGAAGGGAAAGGAAGGCCTATTAATGCTCACTGAAGACCTGGTCATACGTACCAGGTACCATCCTAGGAACTTCACATGGTTTATCACACTTAATCCTAACGACATACTTATGTACTACATACTGAATTATTCTAGGAACTTTCACCTGACTTTTAATCCTAGCAACAGTTTTACAAGGTAGTTTATTGTTAATTATGACATTTATATATCAGAAAATTGAAGTTTGCAGAGATTAAATGTGTCCAGGACCACACAGGTAGCAAGGGACAGAATCAGAATTCCTACCTATACCTGCCACTTCCAAGATCCCATGTGCTAAAGATATAGCACTAAGTGATACAGAATTCTAGGGTCTTAATCAAATACTTCCTTGAGTGTAAATACAACATTGCTTCCTCAGTAAAATCTCTGCTTTTTATCTGAGAACTGGGCTTCTAACCTTGAGAATTCAGTGTAAACCCTACTAATGGTTAGCCTCTTTCCTATACCCACAGCTGCTCTAGGAGATGCTCAGTGGCATGTACCTCTACCAGGAAATAGAGTATCTGCCCTGAGAAATGAGTATGCTTCTTCTATTCTGATTATGAAAACTGATATAATCTACCATGTTTTCAATTTTACAGTTTACAAGAAGGTTAAAGTTAAATGTAATGCTCAATCAAGGCCACAAGCTTTGCTTTTAAATAAAATACTTGGAAATGCCTCTCTTACAAAGTAATGCTTTTCCATTCCTACCCTATTCATTATCCTCAGGGTATACAGTCTTTGTAGAAAGATGCCTCAAGTTCTTATGGGAACTTGTCAAGACATGCACGCATTCAATAATACAGCAAAGAAGGTAGTTTTCATAATTCAAATAACTCTGAAGGAATAAACTCCAAAAGATATTCCTCATTTTAATAAAATATTGCTTTAAAGTGTATTTAATAGATGACATATTACCAAACTAAGGTATCTAGGTCTCCTTGTACAGTCATTTTACTTTTATTGCAACTATGCCTTTTGTGCTGTATATTTTAAGTTTCTGAGAACTTATTGTACTGTATCCAAGTCTCAGCATGCAAGCAGGATTTGTCTTTTGTCAAAAGATTGCTTTTATTAGGAAAAAAATTCTCTAGATTATTATACATATGAATCCTTGTGTTTAACACAAGTTCATTCAGACATTTACTGCCTGTACAATTCATATACATATATTTCCATTTGAACATTCAATCAGAGGGCACAAATTCAATTAGAAGGGCTTAAATACATTTAAACACAAGGAAGTTTTTTTTTTTTTTTTTTTTTTTTTGCGGTACGCGGGCCTCTCACTGTTGTGGCCTTTCCCGTTGCGGAGCACAGGCTCCGGACGCGCAGGCTCAGCGGCCATGGCTCACGGGCCCAGCCGCTCCGCGGCATGTGGGATCTTCCCAGACTGGGGCACGAACCCATGTCCCCTGAATCGGCAGGCAGATTCTCAGCCACTGCGCCACCAGGGAAGCCCACAAGCAAGATTTTTAAAGAAAATTTAAAATACATTTGAACTTGGTGTCCATCGTTGGAAGAAAGGTAGGCAACACTTGTAGATATACACCAAGCAATGGATTAGATGCACACAGAGAAATGTGGATGGATAGAAAACACAGTGCATCGGCGAGCCTCAGGCTGGTGCAACGTCACGCTGGCCTCGGCCGCCGCAGGTTCGCCCCGCACTCCGTGCCCCTCCCTCCCCCCGGCCTGAGTGAGCCAGAGTCCCCGAATCAGCCGCTCCAGCCGCTTTAATCCCATCCTGTCTGAGAGAAAACCAGACGCCCTCTGGCGACCTACACGCAGAAGCGGGGCCAAATCCAAAGCTGAGCCCCTGGGAGCTGTGAGAACAAAGAAGAGAAAGGGAAATCTCTCCCAGCAGCCTCAGAAGCAGCGGATTAAAGCTCCACAGTCAACCTGATGTACCTGCATCTGTGGAATACCCGAATAGACAACGAATCATCCCAAATTGAGGAGGTGGACTTTGGGAGAAAAGATGTATTTTTTTTTTTTCCCTTTTCCGCTTTTTGTGAGTGTGTATGTGTATGCTTCTGTGTGAGATTTTGTCTGTACAGCTTTGCTTCCACCATTTGTCCTAGGGTTCTGTCCGTCCATTTTTTTTTTCTTAATTTGTTTTCTTAATAATTATTTTTTAATTTAATAACTTTATTACATTTTACTTTATTTTATTTTACTTTATCTTCTTTCTTTCTTTTTTTCCTTCCTTCCCTCCTTCCTTCCTCCCACCGTCCCTCCTGCCCTCGCTCCCTCCTTTCTTTCTTTCCTTCTTTCTTTCTTCCTTCCTTCCTTTCTTTCTTCCTACTTCTACTAATTCTTTCTCTCTACTTTTTCTCCCTTTCATTCTGAGCCATGTGGATGAAAGGCTCTTGATGCTGCAGCCAGGAGTCAGTGCTGTGCCTCTGAGGTGGGAGAGCCAACGTCAGGACACTGGTCCACAAAAGACCTCCCAGCTCCACATAATATCAAATGGCGAAAATCTCCCAGAGATCTCCATCTCAACGCCAGCACCCAGCTTCACTCAATGACCAGCAAGCTTGGACACCCTATGCCAAACAACTAGCAAGACAGGAACACAACCCCACCCATTAGCAGAGAAGCTGCCTAAAATCATAAGTCGACAGACACCCCAAAACACACCACCAGACGTGGAACTGCCTACCAGAGAGACAAGATCCAGCCTCATCCACGAGAACACAGGCACTAGTCCCCTACACCAGGAAGCTGACACAACCCACTGAACCAACCTTAGCCACTGGGGACAGACACCAAAAACAACGGGAACTACAAACCTGCAGCCTGCAAAAAGGAGACCCCAAACACAGTAAGATAAGCAAAATGAGAAGACAGAAAAACACACAGCAGATGAAGGAGCAAGATAAAAACCCACCAGACCTAACAAATGAAGAGGAAATAAGCAGTCTACCTGAAAAAGAGTTCAGAATAATGATAGTAAAGATGATCCAAAATCTTGGAAATAGAATAGACAAAATGCAAGCAACATTTAACAAGGACCCAGAAGAACTAAAGATGAAACAAACAACAATGAACAACACAATAAATGAAATGAAAAATACTCTAGATGGGATCAATAGCAGAATAATTGAGGCATAAGAATGGATAAGTGACCTGGAAGATAAAACAGTGGAAATAACTACTGCAGAGCAGAATAAAGAAAAAAAGAATGAAAAGAACTGAGGACAGTCTCATAGACCTCTGGGACAACATTAAACACATCAACATTCGAATTATAGGGGTTCCAGAAGAAGAAGAAAAAAAGAAAGGGACTGAGAAAATATTTGAGGAGATTATAGTTGAAAACGTCCCTAATATGGGAAAGGAAATTGTTAATCAAGTCCAGGAAGCACAGAGAGTCCCATACAGGATAAATCCAAGGAGAAATACACCAAGACACATATTAATCAAACTGTCAAAAATTAAATACAAAGAAAGCATATTAAAAGCAGCAAGGGGGGGCTTCCCTGGTGGCGCAGTGGTTGCGAGTCCGCCTGCCGATGCAGGGGAGACGGGTTCGTGCCCCGGTCCGGGAAGATCCCACATGCCGTGGAGCAGCTGGGCCTGTGAGCCGTGGCCGCTGAGCCTGCGCGTCCGGAGCCTGTGCTCCACAATGGGAAAGGCCACAACAGTGAGAGGCCCCCGCACCAACATTCGAATTATAGGGGTTCCAGAAGAAGAAGAGAAAAAGAAAGGGACTGAGAAAATATTTGAAGAGATTATAGTTGAAAACTTCCCTAATATGGGAAAGGAAATCGTTAATCAAGTCCAGGAAGCACAGAGAGTCCCATACAGGATAAATTCAAGGAGAAATACGCCAAGACACATATTAATCAGTGGGAGGCCCCCGTAACGCAAAAAAAAAAAAAAGAAAGCAGCAAGGGAAAAACAACAAATAACACACAAGGGAATCCCCATAAGGTTAACAGCTGATCTTTCAGTAAAAACTCTGCAAGCCAGACGGGAGTGGCAGGACATATTTAAAGTGATGAAGGAGAAAAACCTGCAACCAAGATTACTCTACCCAGCAAGGATCTCATTCAGATTTGATGGAGAAATTAAAACCTTTACAGACAAGCAAAAGCTGAGAGAGTTCAGCACCACCAAACGAGCCTTACAACAAATGCTAAAGGAACTTCTCTAGGCAAGAAACACAAGAGAAGGAAAAGACCTACAATAACGAACCCAAAACAATTTAGAAAGTGGGAATAGGAACATACATATTGATAATTACCTTAAATGTAAATGGACTAAATGCTCCAACCAAAACACACAGATTGGCTGAATGGATACAAAAACAATACCCATATATATGCTGTCTACAAGAGACCCACTTCAGACCTAGAGACACATACAGACTGAAAGTGAGGGGATGGAAAAAGATATTCCATGCAAATGGAAACCAAAAGAAAGCTGGAGTAGCAATTCTCATATCAGACAAAATAGACTTTAAAATAAGGACTATCAGAAGAGACAAAGAAGGACACTACATAATGATTAAGGGATCGATCCAAGAAGAAGATATAACAATTGTAAATATTTATGCACCCAACATAGGAGCACCTCAATACATAAGGCAAAAACTAGCAGCCATAAAAGGGGAAATCGACAGTAACACATTCATAGTAGGGGACTTCAACACCCCACTTTCACCAATGGACAGATCATCCAAAATGAAAATAAATAAGGAAACACAAGCTTTAAATGATACATTAAACAGGATGGACTTAATTGATATTTATAGGACACTCCATCCAAAAACAACAGAATACACATTTTTCTCAAGTGCTCATGGAACATTCTCCAGGATAGATCATATCTTGGCTCACAAATCAAGCCTTAGTAAATTTAAGAAAATTGAAATTGTACCAAGTATCTTTTCTGACCACAATGCTATGAAACTAGATATCAATTACAGGAAAAGA